ACAGGCCTTTGGTGACATTTTCAGTGTACCCAGACATAAGATGCAAATTCCAGAGCCAGCTGAGGGTGGGGGTGGAGGCCYGGTCCCCAGCTGTTCTTGGGGAGCTGACACAGAAAGCCTGCATCTCCCAGCAGTGACGGGCTGAGTGGGGAGGGCCTGGGAGGAAGGTCCAGGGGAGCACCACTGGAGGACAGTGCTGGGGACCTGGGCTCCCACGGAGGCAYGCACTCTTACCCGATTTACACGGTGGCTTCAAATTGGCTGATTGACACAGACAAACAGAAACAGCAAGGAAAGCCCCTAAGCTGGATGACTGCCCTGTGTTCTAGAAATTCTGCACTCACTCGCCACCGAGGCAGAGCACACAGGYGGGCGTAGCTAAGAGGTCATGCCCCCAGAGACGGTAGAGCTGAGACCCACATTGGCTAGCCTGGTTCCCCAGACCTTGCTCCAGTCCCTGGGGGGTCCTCTGCCTCTACTTTAACTGAGCACTCACACATTAGCCCAGCTGAGCACCACTGATGAGCTAGCTCCCTGGATTTTTAACTTAGGAGCCATCCGATGGTAACGATGGGTCATCGACTGCCAGATGGAACTACATTTTGTGGGGGGCAATACTAGAACTGAACCCAGAGTYGCTTCACCAATGAGCCACGTCCCCAGCTCCACTTCCCTTTTATTTTTTATTTTGAGACAGGGTTTCACTAAGTTGCTTAGGACTTTGTAAAGTTGCTGAGGCTGGCCTTAAACTTGTGATTCTCCTGCCTCAGCCTCCCCAGCCACTGGGATGACAGGCRTGCGCCACAAGGTGAGACCGCTTTTGCATTTCTTATTAAGACTCATTTATTCTCTTCCCCTTAAAATTTAACGAAACATAATTTTAAAAGAGCTAATACAATATCACATTTGAAGAAGAAAAAATTAACAAATAAGCACTTCAGTTTATCTCAGCAGTGATTTTGCTTAGTTCCACACCAAAGGCTTTTTGGGGACTTGGAGCAACTATGACATTTTCCTATTAATAATCGACCCATTGATCTTCGATCTCTTGTGATAGTCACTACAGCCTATTCATCTCCTCTCCCTCCCTGTGGATACGAATCAGGTGGGATCCAAAACTGGGTTGCAAAGACCTGGGGCCAGCCAGGGAAGGGGTCTTGGGGAGAGTCAGTGCCCAGCCAGGGTGATCTCAAGTTTGAACACACTGATGGGGAAAACACTATCCCAGGCAACGGGGGCTGGATGAGTCGCCTTGGACCAGCACCTTCCCTTTCCCTTTGGATTTACATGCTGCAAAGCGCTTTTTCATTTATKTTATTTGAAATTCAAATCCAACACATTGTGCTGGGCTTGTCCCCAGAATTCCACAGTATCCAGCAGTGARCCTCTTGCTGGCTTCGAGGACAGCTGGATCGTTTGCTTCTCATGTCTGCAAGAACTCCCTGTTTACACTGTTGGCTGGTGAAGGGAATAACTGTGTCCTGGGGCTTGAGGTCAAAAGGGCTCCACTGTCATCGTCCACTGAGCTCAAACAAAACCACAAATGGCAGGCGGGTTGGCTCTGGATGATTCCCACACGAGACAGTCATCTTCACCTAAGTCGCCAGTTTGCTTTAGCAAACTCTGTGCCACCAAATCTGAACCCTCACCTGGCCTGCGCCTGCTGCTCTGCGCTCCCTCCTGTCCAGTGGCAGGTAGTCTGTCCTTCTGCCCTGTCAACAGCCATTCTCCGCCTGGACTGCCACTTTCTCCTGCTTCACCAGACAATTCAGGCYGTGTGTATCCAGCTGCTTCTAGATCTTTCATCTCAAGAGAAGCCCTCCCTGGCCTCTGTCGCCCTTGGACTTGCTGCCCTGCTTCTCAGCTTCCCATCACAGGAGGACCTTTGGAAAGCCTGATGCCCTGCGGCTCCAGGGTCCCAGGCGGCACCCTCTCCTTGACACTTGCCAGCCCAGGACAAGGGCACTGGGGACCTCAAGCTGCCAAAGCCATGATACCCCAAGGCCCAGTTGAGYCCTCAGCCCTGCACTGGCCCAGCTGCTGTCCCTCGACCTCTGGCTTTCTCTGGCCACCTCACCAGAACATCCCTGGTCTGAAGGCCCTCAGCCTCCTCCACCCTGGGCTCCACCCACGAACCAGGCTTTCCACCCCATCCGCAGGACAGGTGTGAACAGCGTCTCCAACCCACCAGGAGAATTCGCGGCACCTCCTCACACCCGCCTCTGCCCGCCCGCCCTCTTTCTACCATCTACAGGAAATTCAGGCCAAACCCCTGGCCTTGTTGATTTCTCCATCTCCCTCCCAAACCACGTCCAAACATCAGCCAGTCTGAGTGGCTCCATTTCCACAGTGAATCCTAACTCGGGCCATTTCTCTGGGTGTCCATGGTCAYCAGCTCCCACCAAGTCACCCCATCACCTGGCATCTGGAATGCTACCTCAGCCTCTAAGTGGCCGCCAGAGCTTGCCTCCTCCCAGCCCCCTCCCCCATGGCCAGCGTGATCTGGACCAAACACAGTGGCCTCCTGAAGCCCACTGCCCAGCACGTGCTCAGCACCTGGCCCAATAGGCCAAGACCTGGCCTCTAGCTCTACCCTGCCTATGGCGGTCCTGGCTTCTAGGCAGGGACACATTTCCCTTCCTCCCTTCACCCCTGAAGTTTCAGAGTTCAAGTGAATTCAAAGAAAAGGCAGTAGGAAAAAAGGGGAACCCACCTGTATTTCTAAATAAGTTATTCTTCTAATTTCTCCTGCTGAACTTGAAGAACTCAGAAATTTGATTTGTTCTGTTTGGGGGCCTGGGCATGGAACCCAGGGATTACGCATGCTAGGCACGAGCTCTRTCACTGAGCTACCGGCCCAGTCCCCAAAATTGATTTTTGGCAATAGAGTACATTTGGTTCAAAAGTTATTTTACTGGGGTTGGAGATGTGGTTCAAGAGGGAGCCCCCTTGCCAGGCATGGGAGGCCCTGGGTTTGTCCCAGCACCGCTAGAACCAAAGGTGAGAATCTAGAAACTTATGATCCAATAAAAKAAGTAGTGTGACTATTTCCAGGCACTCTGGGAAAAATGGATACATGTCCCTGGAAATCGTGTGCATGCATCATAAAATAAAAATAACATTTTCAGAAGGAACACTATATATTTGATATTAACTTCCTTATTTGTGTAAGTCTAAGTTGTAAATAAAACATACTCTCATTTGACGGGAGTAGACAGACGGCAGAATGTCAACATTACAACGGGACTGGAGTCACCCTGGAGAAGAGCCTCATCTCTAAAAGAGGATTACATTACATTTGTCTCTGCTACTGCCCAGTTCKCTTTTATTTTTCTGAGAGTTAATTATGGTTTCTGACCACCAATTTTAAGTAACCTTAAAAAACAAATGTGAAAGTACATGCATTCAAAGGAAATGGTTCCTCAAGTTTGTATATTTTTATTTAAACTAAATATAATTTAACTTAGAGACCACGTTCAGGAATCAAATGGACTCCTTGGATAATACCGACAGTTTCTGAATAGACTGAATAAAGCTCCCTTCTCTGTGAGTGCGTCATGAGGAGAAAATGGTGTGGAACTGATTGATGCGTCTTGACCTATTGACACATGGAGAGATGACTTTCTTTACTGAGCATGGAACGTCACTCTGGGTAGACACWGCAGAACTGATGTCCACGTTCACATGTGGTCTTTAAATGTCTATGGGACACCACTGCTGCTTCCAAACTAGACCCCACCGTTTTGAGTGATTTCTCCAACATACAAAATGCCACAGGGACCTAGGAGGACACCATCACGCTCTGGCTGGTACAAGGGGGCTCCTGGTGTGGCTGATGTGTGGCCCTGGCCTCTCTGGCCCCGCCTTCCCTTCAACCCTTCTCTGCTATCCAAGTAAAGACAATTTTAGAAGACCAGTGTGCCCCTGTGCCAGGTGCCCAGTCCCTTCCTCTGCCTGGGTGCCACCCCAAACTTCTTTTCAAAAATTCTGGTGGTGTCACAGGCTAAGCTGGGGTGCTTGTCAGAAGCAAAATATCACAATAGAAGATGCAAATAAGAACGTAGTTGTTATTCCTCATACCAATACAGRGCGTGCGGACAACAGAGCCTTGCTAAGAGCGTGTGGGCCAGCGGGGGTGCCCAGCCCTGCAGCCAGGGTGGACGGAGCCCCTCCACTCACAAACTGGTGTCTACACAAGCTGTCCTTGAAGACAGGATTCAGAGAATGAAGGCTGTCTCCAAACCACCAAGCCAGGCCACAAAAATGCTAAAGTACTTTCACTGATCTCTCTCTCTCTCTCTCTCTCTCTCTCTCTCTCTCTCTCTCACACACACACACACACACACACACACACACACACACACACACACACACACACACACACACAGGCTCTTTTGGTGCAACTGTAGCCAAAAATGGCTTTCTGAAGAACTGAATATTTTTCCTTTAAAATCTGCTTCATGGAATTTCCAACTGGCAATATTTTTAAGAAATGCTAATCCACCAAACAAGAGGCCACTAATACTGAAAATTCCCCTCTACACAAACCAACTGCCAAGCAGTGATGAGGAAGGCAGCCTTCGGAGGGTTTAACTGGATGCAGCACACCTGTGCACRAGGTCCCCTCTGAGAGTCCGCAGGACTCTGCCCTTTCTGTTACTCCAGGGAGGTGATTGCGTACCATCAGTATTCTTCTCTACTAACGTAATCTCTGCTGTTGAGATCTGGGATGCTGCTTAATTGTTCATTTTAAAGAATACAGGAAAAAGCTCTACCAAGATTCCTAAAGGCATGCTGTCTTCCCATGAAATTCATGAAAGCACTTATGATGGTCCTACTGTCTTTAATTCTTTTAACAAACATGAATATTTTCTTAAAGAGGAAATATTTAAAGAGCTAGATTTTGAAGAGTTAATAATGAATGAGCATTAACACTGATTCTCAATAAGCCATCCCATTAAAAACAGTTATTGAAAATATTTCAGGAAGGATTTACTTACCTGAGAATATTCAAAGTCAGTGATAGGCGCTATGCTCTTGATATAATCTGATCGAAACTGGTTTTCGGGGTTGGCCAGTGGGACTGGAGGTATTATAGTACTCATTGCTGAGACGATCGTCTAACGTGGAATGAAGAAAGAAACAGAAAGAAACGTGACATGTAGGCCCCACGTGTGATAATCTCACACATGTAATCTCCACCTGTGTAGTTTTACAGCACAGACTACTTAATCTTTCTGGTAAACATTAAGAATATTTCTTACCACAATAGCATCTTTGACATTTTTCCTGATGTCCAGAATTTTCTGTTTCTTCTCCCTATGTTGGAAGAAAGTTATTAATTTAATTCTCCCTCAGCACTGATTGGTATCCAATGAGTGGGATTTTACACCTCATGGCAGCATTGGTAGAATTTGAGGTCAGAATTGACTCYCAGGACAAAGTTTTTACCAGGGAAAGGAAAACAACCCTTTTCTAATTTGTACTCTAAACAAACTTGAATGCCCCAGTCTTATAACTAAAGCAAGCAGATCACACAAAAACATGGCAACATTGTGATGAGCACTGCTTGTAAATGCAATGATTTGGCTACACTTAAATCTACCCATGGGTACAAACAGATGTGAGCAAGAGAGACTACAGAGAAAAGTATATCTTAAAATACCGCTGGATTCCTTATATGCACTCCACATAGGTGGAGTCAACTGACTAGATATAGAAAATACAGGGGAAAAGAACCACATCTGCACCCAACAGACTCCCCTGGTTATTATTTATTAAACAATTATTTATTTACATAACATGTACATCATATCAGGTATTATGAATCATCTAGAGGTGATTTCAAGTGTTTGAAAGGATGTGTGTGGGTTACATCAAACCCAGGCCATTTTATGTAACAACTCAGTCACCCCAGGACTTCTGGTATAGGCAGGTGTCCTGGAGGCAATCTCCCACCCTCCAAGGACCAGGAACCAGTGTATTGGTTGAGTGCTCAGAGCAGTGCCAATATTGCACATCAATACCCCAAGAATACCTAATAGATCATATTTTGTTAAACAAGTTTTTTTTTTTAAACTATGCACTGCCACAAGAAAGGTTTGCCTAAATTAAGCAGATTCAACAACAGAATTTCTATCCCCCCCCCACCCCGCCCCGCCAAAAGGACTCTTGGGTCATCAAAGGAGCTGCAGAGAGAAAGGAATTGCTGGGAGAGCTGTGAGAGAAGTCAAAAAGTCTGCATGCAATTCGGTAGCAAAACTGAAACTGGGCTTTCTTACTCGGGATTAAATCCGTTCACGTGCAGGATCCTCATCTGTTTGACGATAGTGCTTTTCCCAGACTCTCCAGCCCCTAGGAACAAACAAAAAGAATGCTGTCAACTGTAMGCTCACCGCGTGGCCACCCCTCTCCGCTAACCCTATTATTTTCCTGCCCCTACGTGGGGATTTTTGCGGACACGCCGATTGCTGTGGAGGAGCTCGCCGCGGTCGGCGGCGTCGGGTCTCGGTCCCCTCCCGCTCCTGCCCGCCCCGCCCGGTGCTCGCTGCAATCCTGGACGGGAGCTCGGCCGTGAGCTCCGCGGGTGCCAGGCGCGCCGGGCGGAGCGGCCGCGAGCCTCCGACCTTACCCAGCAGCAGCAGGCGGTGGGTCGCTTTGTAGGCCAAGCGCTCTTTCTGCAACTGCTTCTCGATCTTTTTGTTGGCCTCACGTCGTTCCTTTTCATCGACGCCCTGGTCTTCTGCGGTCTTGCTGTTGCCCAGACAGCCCATGCCTGCCCGCTTGGGTGGACGTCAGGCACAGGTAGGAAGGCGCACCGAGAGCAAGAGGGAGGTGCAGGTAGTTGTGGGTCCTKCGAAGGCGTCTTTTCTCCACGCTGCAGAAAGAGATGGTCTGGTCTCCTGGTGTTTTCCGATCGCAACGGGCGGTTCTTCTCCCTCCCTCTGCCTACCGCAAACTCCCAACCAGGAAGACGCAAGCAACACGCGCGGAGGAAAACGCTTTTTGAAGGGACTTAGGAATCTGCTGGATATGCACCGCACAACGCAGGGAGCCGGGGCGCGGGCGGCGGGCGGCGGGCGGCGGGCTCTGCGGGAGACAGCCAGGGAGGCGCTGCGCCCTCGGTTCGCCCCAAGGCTCCGCGCCCGCGCTCAGCGCCTAGTCCGGTACCGCCCAGAGGGGACCTCCAGGGCGGCGCGCTCGGCCGGTGCCGGGTCCCCGCTGGTATGGTGGCCGAGCGCAAAGCAGTGGGACCGAGTGCGTCACCAGGTCCCCGCTGGGCGACTGTGGCCACCTTCCGGCGCAACCTGCTCAGAGCCTGGGACACGCGCCCCCTCCCGGGTCTGCACTCCCCGTGGGGGACAGGGGAAGGGGCAAGGGAAGGATGTAGGTTCGGCGGGCAGCCGGGCGCTGACCCCAGGGCTCTAGGAGAGGGGCTGCGGTGCGGGTGGGGTCGGGAGCGGGAGGAAGGGCAGGACGCTTACACTGGCCCTCGTGGGTCCCGAGCCGCAGCCCGCTCCGCCGGCCGCGGCCGCCTGGCTGTCTCGCACCCCGCGCYCGAGAGTGCGTCTGGGCGCGCGCTCCCGGCCTTCCTTGGACGCCTCCCCGCTCCGGGCGGGCGGCGAGGCCTCGCTCAGGATCATGCATATTCTATCAGGGAGGAGGGTCTCGGAGCGCCAGTCACTCCGCCTTTGTTCCCTGCAGTTTCTAGACTGTTCCGCTCACCCACGCCGCCGCCTCCCTGCTCGCTCGCTTTACCTCCAGCCCAGGTTTCTCCTCTGCAGTTGGGGACAGCTCTACTACTTCTCAGAAGGCACCATGGCGTTGAATTCTGCATTGTGGCCGCAGAGCAGAGAGGGCACCTGTTGTCCTGCTGGGTGACTGAAGTCCAGGGCTCTCCATTCCTCCGCAAGGCGAGCAGCAAGGGGTCAGCAGCTTTGTTGAACTCGCGAGGCAGGAGGGCGAAAGCCACAAGGCGCGACTTGGCCAAAGTCGTGGACACCAGCATCCAGCCCTGAAGATCACTCTTCCRTGTGTGGACAGATTGCTTTGAGGCCAGCGGGACCTGGGCACTGCTCACCAAATCCATGTCTTTGCTCAGATGTTTAAGCCCCCGCCTGCCCTGCCTTACCAAACCCACACCATCTGCCCGCAGTTTCCTACACTGGCCTCTGTCCTGAGGGAGAAGCCAGGCCTGCCAGTACTTGCACTTTCCACGTGGCGGGAATGGGCTTCTGTCCTCTGCACCCTCCAGCTCTCCATCTCCTCAGCCTCTCTTCCCACACCCTGGTTTCCCTCAAGCAGGCAGACACATGAAGCTCTGTCCCATTATAGTCAAACAAAACCTCAGTCTGGCACCTGGTCAGTTCCACCAGCTTTCCTCCTGCACTGGGCCTCTGCCAGCATTTCCTGCTTCCTGGTCACTCTGGCTTTAGCCTGTGTCTTCCACCAAAAACATCCTCTTTAGTGGGCTTCCAGGACCTGGGCCTCTTCAGGGGAGCCAGCTCTGACCCCTCCTGGAGGCTCCTGCCTTTGGCTCCCCATGCTGCCCTTTGGCCTCTGCTCACCCCTGGCGGGGGGGACTTGAGCTYTGACTCCCTGAGCCAAGTTCCTGGGGCCTGGCTGCATCCTGTGGACTCCATATGCYCAGTTCTGAGGACATTGGCATCAGACCTGCAGCCTGGTGCACCCTGTCACTGTCCCTGAACTCACCGAGATCTTCAGGCATCTCCAGTTAGACTTACCCTGGACTGAGCAACACCCCCCCCCCCCCCAGTGTTGGATGGGCCCTCTCCCTCTGTGCTCTCTCTGGAATAAAGGACCTTGATTTCCAGGACCAGGGGCATCATGTCGGACTCCTTTTTCTTCTTGCAAACTCCCAAAGTGACTGCGTCCCTTTGGACCTATGCCCTGAACTGGTGTCCTAGCCTCTTCACTCATCTGCCTCCACTGAGATTTCAGCAGAATCCTGACCCTTTCTACCAGGGTCCTCCTGAATGGTTGAGTCCAGTGCACCTGGCACAATGGTGTCACAGTGACAGTGCAAATCCAGCCACGCCACTGGGCCCACCATCTACAACCCACTGCATGGCCCTGCCAAACCTCTAGCTTCAGCTCTCATTTCTCCCCTTCCCACCCCACACTCCACAGTCCAGAGCAGGTGGTTCAATGTGCCAGCCACTCCCTCCTGGGGAATACCTGTGGCCCCTCTTCTCAGCCAGCTCCTATTTACGCCCATCCTTCAGTCCACATGGGCGCCTCCCTCATGGCCAGGGTTAGGCACCCTCTTGCACTCTCACTGGGCCCAGGTGATGGCTTGCTACTGCCCCCTCGAACCCCACTGGCTGTGACACTGCCAGCTGGGTTGGGTCTGCCCACCTGTACTTGCCTCAGTGTCAGAGTCACGGGTGCTCTCTGGGTCCTTGTTCAGTGGAATGACAAGTTCGCCAAAGCCAGAGATAGCTCCTGGTCAAAGTGCGGATTCTCGCTAAAGGAATCTCATGATCACACTTTAAATTTGTAAAATAGTTCTCCATTGTATCACTATATGGGAAATAATACTTTAAAAATGAAAAAATAACTCTTCTTTTAAAAATTTTTATTGGTTAATTACAATCACACATTACAGTGGGTTTTGCTGTTACACATTTGTACATGATACAGTATAACCCTATCCTCCGGCCCACCTCATCCCTGGTGCCTTCCCTTTGCCTCCCCCACCCCCCGTCAGCTTCCTCTGCTCCACTGATCTTCTTGTTATTATCATGGGCTTCCCTTCCTCCTTTTCTTCCCTTCCTCCTTTTCTTTAGCTTCCACATATGAGAGAAAATGTACGACCTAGACTTTCCAAGTCTGGCTTTCTCCTCTTAACTTGATGGTCTCAAGCCCCATCCATTTTCTTGCAAATGACATAATTTCATTTTTCTTTATGGCTGAATAAAACTCCATTGTGCATATAAACCCTACATTTTCTTTATCCATTCATCCGTTGATGGACACCTGGACTGTTTCCATAGCATGTTGATAACCCTTCTTGACATATGCAGACACAAATGCACAGCGTCACACTCCGTCCTGAGCTAGGCTAAAGTTCTAGTTTGTGAACCAAGAGTACTTAGCACAGGTGCCACACCTGTGAGTGTGATAGCATGTCCTGCAGGTGATAGCATGGTATGCCACACCTGTGAGTGAGCTAGCATGTCTCTGTACAGGTGATAACGTGGCTAATGGGGAGGGCAGTCAGAAGCTGAGAAAATATACATAAAAAATATAGTGTGGGGTGGGGAGTTTGTAAAAGTATGGGTTCTTTTTTAATGACAAGATTTCTATGTGTTGTTAGAGAAAGGGAAACAAAAAATTCTGTGAAAACTTACGAAGGGATAATTCAGTTAGAACTCAGAAGCCACTGTTTTAAGACAAACTGATATTCAGTTACCCTGAGAATATAACAATAGGTTTTGATGTGTTCACATTTAGAAATTAAGGTTAAAGACAAAAATGTTTGGTATTTAAGAAGGAGTAGATACAGAGATTCGATGAAACACACACTCTACTGGAACATGCATTTGTTTATCAGCAAGAGAGTGAGAATATCTGCCCTGTAAAACAGCCTCTAGCTATCCATCAGGGTGGCAGTGGGCTTCATCTGTCCGTGAAAAACTTTATTCAGTGTTGGAAATAGTCCCCAAAGACAGGGACCATGGTAACATCACTTTAAGGAGCAGAGGGGTGAGTGAGAGGGTAAATGACTGGCCACAATGTCAGTGTAACATCACCTACAGTGATGCCTCCACCCACGACAGATGTGACAACCCCAAACATTCCTGYACCTTCCTTGTTCATGGGAGAAACGTTTCTTGTGAAAACTGCGAAGCCAGCATTTGCCTATTACCAGATAGGAGCTCAAGACCTGTCCCCTCCCTCCCTGTCTTCTTCCCTTGGTGCTGCCTGGGGAACAACATGAGGCAAGTGCCACATTCCCTGCCCCAAAACTTTTTTTTTTTAAACCCAATCGTCTGGCCCTCTGCTATTTAAGTGTGAGAAAACGATCCTCATTCGTTTCAAGCCATTGGATCAGATTCCAGAACACTAGCTTGCTTATSGGGAGCAGAGGAGTGGAGCTGTCGGGGAAACAGAGCCGCTGCTGCGCAAGCATCGGTTGCCAGGCAACCACAGCAGAGCAGCATCAGGCTCCTAGGCAACCAGCGCCCGCCCGCAGGGTCCACCCTGTGAGCAGCGCCAGCAGAGGGCGCGAGCGCGCAAGATCAGGGAACCGCCAGTTCCCCAAAAGCAGTGAGAGAAGGCCCTGCTCACACCTGCTCACACCCTGCTCACACCCAGAACGTGAAGGGCTC